AGACTGCATGTGGAGGATTGTTTTCAGTTTGGGAACAACATTTTAGGGAAGCAATGGATAGACTGGAATATGTACAAAAAGAAACTCTGGGGACAAAGGGGAGATGGAGAGATGTTATAGTACAGTGGAATGAGTACAGTTATCCCTTCCACATGGTGGGGGTTAAGGGCATGGTGCCCCCGTGATCTGGAAAATCTGTGAAAAATGTTTTGGTCCTCCCTTCGTATCAGAGAAGAAGTCTGATTATTATGGTATTAAAAGTCAAAATATGCTGATATTTTACAATATTATACATGTATCTTATGCATTTCTGAGTTTCTAAACATTTTCTGTTGTCTGACGACCTTCGCATATCATCTGCAGCTTCTGCAAAACTCCCCCCAAATTCTCGTTTAATTTCTTATTCCGACTCACGATACATCAAAACCGTGATGGCAAAAGTTATGATGTGAAAGGGAAAAGGGATAAGTGTCCTGGGTTTTGGGCCCTAGGAATAGCGATCAGTGTAAGGAACTCCCAGTGAGGACACACCCCTATGCAGATCACCACTTGCTCCTCAAACTTAGTCTTAAGAAAGTGGCCTGGGGAGCACTGAGATGTGAAATAAGTTGGTAGGTCAGAAGCTGATTTGAACCCAGGTCTTCCTGTTGGCTTATTACTACTACACCTGCCAACCAATAGGAGGAACCATCAGAAAGATGAAACAAAACTCAACAGAAGGTAAAAATAAATGATAGCGATTCGACTTCCATAGTTCTTTCTTTGGATGTGGACAGCATTTTCCATCCGAGGCCTCTGGAGACGTCTTAGATCCTTGTAATGCTGAGAAGGGTTAAGTTTATCAATATTAGTCATCGCACAATGTGGCTGTTATTGTGTACAACGTTCTCTTCGTTCTGCTCTCTTCACTCAGCATCAGACCATACAAGTCTTTCCAGGTTTTTCTGAAGTCGGCCTATTCATCATTTCTTATAGCACAATAGTATTCCACTACATTCATATACCACAACTTGTTCAGCCATTCCCCAGTGGATGGGCATCCTCTCAATTTCCAATTCTTTGCCACCACAAAAAGAGCTGCTATGAATATTTTTGTACATGTGGGTCCTTTTCCCATTTGTTTGATCTTTTGGGATATAGCCCTAGAAGTGCTATTGCTGGGTCAAAGGGTGTGCACATTTTGTTTGGGCAAAACCATATTAAGGTAATGTAATAAAAATTATCCATTTCTTATTTGATCATAAACTCTTCCCCTATCCATAGATCTGACAAATGATATTTCCATACTCCCCTAATTTGTTTATGCTTTAAATCTAAATCATGAACCCATTTTTAACTTATCTTGGTATAATAATAACTAATAATAGTTAATATTTCTATAGTGCTGTTATATGCTGTCTTATTAACCTTTCAGAAATAGCAGCAAACCTACTCATTGCTATACACGCTGTGTCCTCCTCCCCAGATCTGGGCCCAAATTCTGCCTGTCATTTACTCCCTTGAACAGATCTCTTCACTTTCCTGAGACTCAGTCTCCTCTTCCATCTCTTGGTCACTTTCCTTCCTTAGGCCTGTTTCCTCCATAAACTGAGGTGGGACCCAATGATCTCTAAAGGTGCCTTTCAGTCTTCCTCGTCTATTAGTCGTTATATGCTGTCTTATTAACCTTTCAGATTGCAAGCTCCTTGAGGGTAGGGACAGTTGTCGTAGAGGGCCTCAGACCTATTAGACACTTAACAATGTTTGTTCATCGACCACGAAGCAGTCTCATCTTCCTCTTCCCTGTAGCCCTATCCCTAGAATGTTGATGCTGATGAGAGATATGTCCTGCTGTTCATGCCTCATCAACAGCTTTGGGAAGAGGATGGTATAGCCAGCACTAAGTGCTGATTGGTCAATTTTCAGCGTGAGCCTTTACACCTCAGAAATCAGCAAACTGGACAAATTTGGGCTTGGTAGATTGTTCTGTTGATAACCTGGACTTGATAAAGTGATGGAGAAAAATAGTAATAATGCAAATGACACTGAAAAGTATGCCCTATGCACACTTTTTTTGGAAAGCTGGCTGTGGAACATTTACCAGACCACCCCTGGCATGGCACCACGGTCCCAAGACACTTACTGTAGAATCTACAGGTTGTAAGGATCTAGCTTTGTCTCTTGTGTCTCTAGAAGGATTAACTCAATCCAACCTTTTCAACATTTTGTAGCTGGTTTTCATTGGCCTCATTTTTCCTCCTTCCATTACTCAATATGACCCATGGGACATAATACGGGAAGCCCTGGAGGGCATAAGGGGTGAATTCTTGTTCCCAGGATGAGAGAACCCAGTTCTAGAGCTCACAGGGGATGGTTGAGACTAGAATGTAGGTGGCTGAGGGCCTTTGAACATAGGATGTCAGAGCTGAGACCTTAGAACAAAGAATGTTGGGACCAAGAGGGTTCCTAAAACACAGAATGTTAGCCTGGGTAACTCAGCTCAGAAAGGGAAAACTAGTGCCTTTATTTGCTCGAGCAACCCAAGGTGGAACCAGGACTGAAATTGTCCTTTCTTGGCTCTTGGACCTCTTTCTCATTGAGAGTTATAGGCACAAGATCAGAGTGCTAGGAATGGGTGGCAGCTTTGGGGGGTGGGGGGAGGGCTGATAGCTACTATGCTATCCTGTCTGCCCTGCCTTAACTTTGACATTTAAGAGAGCAGGGGCCACAATCCATTTTCTTAAGGGAAGAGGTGGGCATCCTTTGAACTTCCCCGATTGGCCTTAGTCAAGGTTTCTAATCCTCCACTTGCACTTGCTCCTTGCCTTAGGAAGGCATATGATATAGTTAGGAATGGGGGAGGGGGTCAGGTTGCCTCTACCACAGATCCTCAGAAGGCCTGACATTAACCAGCACTAGACATGGAGGGTGGAAAACTGCTTAGGGAATACGGCCAGACAAAGAGGGCCATTGGCTGGGTCTGTGGGCCAAAGGTAAAAGAGGAAGTCTGCAAACACATCTTTGGTGTGCTCAGGCTCTCCCCCCTCCTTGCTAAACACCCCATAGCATTTGATCAGGCTTTCCTTACCAGAACTGAACTCCTAACAAAAAAGTCTAAGAAACTCAACTGTACTGAGATGTCAATGACTGAAAATAATAAGAGCTAGCAGTTTAAGGTGAGCAAAGCTCTTTACAAATATCTCATTCGATCCTCACAATGACCTAGGAAGGTAGGTGCTATTATATTAGTTTATAGGTGAGGAAACTGAGGCAGACAGGTGAAATGACTTGTGCAAGGTCACACAGCTAAATGTCTGAGGCTGGATTTGAACTGCCACCTTCCAGACTTCAGGCCCAGCACAGCATCCACGGTGCTCCTAGCTGCCTCTGGAAACACCTTACTCATCAACCTGGAAGGTAGGAGGTGGTATATTTAACAGGACAAACTCAAACTGAAGGAATAAAACTAGCTCTATGGGTAGAATTCTAGCTATATGGGACTTCTCTATAACTCTGAAATTCTGCCATACAGGTAGCCTTCTCTGGATAAAGCTGATCCTTGTCCCTTAGATCTCAGCTAGTCTAACCCTTTTGTTTTACAGACAGGCAAACTGAGGCTTAGAGAGGGGAAGGGACACTCAGGCTTTAGGTCTCAATGGGTGGTGGCAGAAGTGGCTTTACTCTGGTGGGTGGAGATTTCCCCAGGGAGTCAGGACAGTGATGACTAGGAGCCTTTGGAAAGGTGGAGGATGGCCTCTCCCTGAGGCCTGGCTCTCCTAGGGGACCTGGCAGAGCCCCTGCTGTCTCCCAGCCCCCAATGTCAGGGAAGTTATCACCATGTCTTTTTTCCTATTGGTTTATAAGACTCTTCAGTTTCCCGATGGAAAGTCCTGAAGCTGGGCCAAGTTCCATCTAGGCCTTTCAACTCCGAGGTGGGCTCCCTCAGCCCTGAGCCTTTGATTATCCAAAGGTCCCAGGTCAGCCTCATAATGAAGTCAGAACAGGGGGAATTTATAACCCCCTGAGTAAAGAATTAAAACAAAATCAAAATGAAAATAACATGAAAGGCCACTGGGTATCATACCAGCTCTTGGCTTCAATGAAAATAGCCAGGGAAAAGAGTTAATTAAAAAAACCTGAAGACATTTGTCTGCAGTTTTTGATCACTTTTATGTTTAAACAAATTAACAACTGTGATAAGGGGCCATTAGACAACCTTCCCTAGGCCTCAATGTGAGGAATAGCTTTATCTCAGAGCCACAATGGTGGGCCCTGGCCAAGTTGTTGTTGGCCTACAGGCCTGCTAAGACTTTCCATATTGAGGAACACTGCCGAGGAGACCAGGCAGAAGGAGACAAACTTCAGGAGGGTGGGTAGGCAGGCGGACCCCCAAGAAATGAGCTTCTGCCAGTTTTTTTTTTAAATTTGTTTTTTATTGTATTCAGAGCAACAAAATATTCCAAGATTACAAAAGAGCTGAACACTAGAGAGCTGGGGACTGAGAGGCCCAGGGCAGGCTTTGTGAGAACTGAGGCCCCACCAAAAGACGTTTCGAAGCAAACTCAATCCATTTCTATTCTCCACTCCCACATTTTTGGACAACAGAAATTCTTAATTCAGTAAATTATTCCCCTCCCCTTCATCAAATTCAAACCCGGTATTCTTAGGTCATTCCCAAAGCTCCATTCTAGGGGTGGGCAAGAGGGTTCCAAATGGTGATAACTCAAAGCAAGCTTTTGGGGGCCCAGGTGGATTATGGGACAGACAGGAAGGCCCCAGGGGCACTTCTCTGTGGGGCAGTTAGCACTCAGGGCTGGCATTTGCTTGTTTGTTTGTTTGTTTGAAGGGCCCTGAGGGTGGGGATAGCAGTTTGGAGGCCAAGAGGTTTACTCTTACTTATTCCTGTGGATCCAAAAAGTTTCTTATTTTCCATTTTTCTGGGGTGGGGTGAGGTGGGATATTCCAGACTTTGGCTGGCTACATGAATACCAAATGCAGAGAGAAGCCAGGACGAATTGGCCTCCCCCTCAACTGAACTGGGAAGCAATCAATGCATGATAACTTGTTTATTCTTTCAATCAAATTGTGTGAGGGGGAAAAAAAAATCTAAAAAAAAACCCCAACAAAACAAACTCTGCATCACTCTATTTGAAAATCCGACTAGTAAATGAAGTCACCCATCATTTCCCTCTGGGGGATCCTGACTTCTTTCGCTGCTCTCAGGACTAGAACAAGGCCTTTGAGACAAATGACTGATGGGGAATTATTCGGCCTTCCTCTAGAAATGGTGGTGGGTTGAGCTACTCCTGGTTACAGGCCCCAGCAAGAAATTAATAGAAGTGAAAATCCCTATAGGCAGAGGAGGCCCTTCTACCTATGGAAAGGAAGCTTTATTACAGAGACAAGTTAACAGAGAAAACACAATTTCATTTGCCATAATCTTTACAGAAAGTCTCTAAAACCAGAATTAAGAGCACAAGACACCCAATATATAGCAAGAACAACTCAACGGTGTTTGAGTTCACTGTTCGTGCCCTTGTGCCTCAGAACTCCACGGGACTGGTGGCATGGGTAGGCCAAAGGAGCACCCTAGCCCTCTCCCTTTCCCGCTTTCTGATCCCTCCCCACACCTACTCCCCACTTGGACAGAGGCTGGGGCTGGAGCTGGCTCATGATTCAGGGAAGGCTGGAGCACCCCTCATCTTTCTCCTTTACCCAGATCCCCAACAAATCTCCCTGAGGTTTCAATGAGTCCGCACCACACCTGTTTCACATGCATGGGCCAACAAGGTATGATAACGACTCTCTTCCCCGTCTTCCCTCCCTCTCTCCTTCCCTCTCTCCTCCACTGTCCTCCCTGAACCTATGGGCCAGACAACTCAAGCATCCTGTCTACCCTGAGAGGACCTCTGAATCAAGGCCAAGGCCTCTTGCTAGTATATAGCATCAAGGTATCACCTGGAACCAAACGTGGATGGCAAAGCAAAAGGCAAAAGGAGCAGAACATATTATATCTATATATAAAATTCAATTTTGAAACATGGATACAAATACTCATTTACAATATATTTCAACCCTCTGCGGCAAACTGCAGAGAATTCGGTGCACCATCTCAGTGGGCAGAAATGGGAGATTCTGCCTGCTGTCTGTCCCTCTAGTGCAAATCCTGTCCTTTTGAATGCACCCTTTTCTCAGCAGGGCTTCACATCTTTAGCTGCGCTAGACATGGATGCCAGCAGATGCAAAAGCCAAACCCAGCTCCATTTCCAAACATGCAACAATAGAGCTTCGGGGATTTGCTCAGCAGCTACTAAAAGAAAAACAAAAGCTAATTCTGCTAATTTGAAAAAAAAAATCACGCATCAAAGGACCCAGAAACCCAGTTTTTCCCCTCCAAATTATATTTAACTTCTCTAAATGTGTAAATTGTGAAAGAAGAAAATATCTTGTAAATGAATTATCGGCCAAGTCCTTTTGACTTTGGCTGCCTTATCAAAGAGTGGCCTCTCTCTCTCTCTCTCTTTCTCGCTCTCTCTCTCTCTCGCTCTCTCTCTCTCCCAACAGTTTTGGTATCTTAGCAAATACATTTGTTGTCTTTGGTTACATAGAATGGTGCATCCATTTCTCCTGCTCTCTCCTGCTTGAAAGTACCTTCGAAGAGATGAATAGCAACAGTCCAGCGGCCTATAAAAGGCCAGCTTCCTTTCATAAGAAACCACACATCCACCAGGATTATAGTGAATGCCCAGCTTTGGACTTTCAGACTGCACCTGAACACTCCTGCACACCCCTCCTCCTCCTCAGGCAGTGGGACAGGGCTGAGTGGGAGCCCAATAGGGCCAAGGGTCCTCTCACCTAGAGGGGACTGGGTCATGTGGGTGATGAGGGTAGGGTTGCAGGGTGCAGGGGAAAGCAGAGGGAAGGAGATGGAGAGGAGGGGAGAAAGGGCAAGAGGAGAGGAAGGGAAAGAAGGAAGGCAAGGGGAGGAAAGGCAGAGGGAGAGGGAGAGAGACAGATGGAGAGAATAACTAGGAGCGTGGATGGTGACAACAGTGCTGGGGTCTGGGCAAAGAAGGAAGGAGGGGACCAGGACCTTGGGTGCCAACAGGATTTAGCAGAATTAGGAGGCTAAGACAGTGTCTGTGGGCTGCTCACAGGACCAACTCAAAGTAAGGCCATTGGAATCACGTCATGTCCATGTGGGCTGAGGCCGGTTCTTGCCTCAGAAGGCCCAGAAGACTCCATCCAGAGGTCTATGTGCATATCTATATGGCTGGATGGACAGAGGGTGGGCCAGGGCAGCATCAGCACAATGCCATTTCCCAAGCCTGACGTTACCTCAGCAACTGCCGAATGGGCAAGTTGGAGAACTTGTTTTTTTCTATTCTTTTTAGAATCCCAGTGAACATATAGAAAAGATATATGCACTGATGATACATGATAGGATCCTTCAAAATTTTTTTTCTCAAAGTACTGTAATTAAAAAAGAAAGAAAGAAAAAACAATAGAACCATTCCAAGTGTTGATGACTACTGGAGGGCACAGAAAAGCCTGCAAGCCAAAAGGCCAGACCCTGCCCCAGATCAGAGGCTGGCCTGGTACCACACTTGGCCACCATGCAGACAATGGCTGAGACAGGAAAGAGGATCTGTCTTGCTCGACACTGACTATGCCACACTGGCCAAAATGCACAGCTACAGGGGACCCCCATTATCTGTCCCAGGCAGTCCCTTCTTCTTTGGCCTTCCTTTTGCACCCCCTGGCTAACTCTTGGGGGGGGAGGAGTCTCTGCTTGGCAGGGCAATGCCATGGAATATGGTGAGGCTGGCCTCACAGCTTCTTGCTCCTCGACACTTGGAGTGGGCCTCAGTCCCTAGTGAGCGTGCCAGCTCTCAATCTTTGTATCATGTCGAGCACATGCAAAACAAAAGCCTTCTTCCCAAAGACAATTGCCGCAACTCCCACAATGACCAAAACAAAAACAAAAACACTCCCTCCCCCCAACCAAAACCATACCCCTTTGACCTAGGAGCAGAAGGAGGAGAGGGCAGGGAGGGGGAGAAGCCAAACCAGACTTTCCCTGCAGCTTTGGAAGTTCTTTCTTCCCAAACCAAAGCTCAAGGAAATGGATTTCAGTGTGCATGGCTTTACTCAAACTGGACTTGGTGTCATTTCTTAAGCCAGAGTCATCCAGTTACAACTGCTTGTTAATTATACTGCTATTTCTTGTATTTTTGGCTTTCAAAATTATGTATATAGGTGTGTGTGTGTATATACATATATCTATATCTATCTATCTATATATATGTGTATATATATATATACACACATATATATGTTCACATAGACAAGACTTCATCAGGAAATCCATGAAGATGAAAAAGCTGGTACTCAGAAATGAAGAGGCTCATCTTAGTATTTACAAGGAGCAAAATAAAGCCAAAAGATGGACATCCTTTTGGAAACAGTCGTAAAAGAAACTATTAAAATGTAACCTAGCTTAACTGAAAAGAGTGGTGAATTACTCTTTTTGCTTTTTTGGGGTTTTTGTTTTTGGTTTGTTGTCTATTAAAAACAGCTAAAAATGATGCTGTGAGTTTACATAAACCAGATGTTACTGTGAGAAAGAAAACTGGGATCTGCCTATTCTCCCATAGAAAGGGAGCCCATCCACTTACATTTTTCCCAGCTGGGCTTGCTAGAGTAGCAACAACTAATCTCAGGCTCCCTTCCTTCTCTATATTCAAAGAATCCAGCCTGTGAGTTTAATGGACTACAGGTAAAACTTCAGAAATTAGGATAGAACACCCTTGCTGGTTCGAGATTTTTGGAGCTATCTTCTCCATAAACGTGATGATGATAGGTTAGCCAAGGCTGGCGGTTTGCCGGTTCCCACATCTTGAACTTAACAGGTGGAGAAAGCAACAGGGGCTCAGAAGGGGAGGTGGGCAAAACTCCCCTGTGGCAATAAGGCCTTGCGGGGTATAGGGTTGAGGGATACACAAAAGTCATCAGAATGCGGGGGTCCCCTGAAGGGCACTATCCTAACTGGGAACCCTGACTGCACAGGTGGCTGCAAAAACCCCCTTTGCAAAAGAGGCGCTGGTTTCAGAGGAAGTCTTAATGGCTCCAGCTAACCCCAGATGAGCAGAATGAAACAGAGAGTCCGTCCTTAGAGGGAGATCTTCCCCCACCTCACCTTATCCTCCTGGCGAGTGGCCAATACCATGGCCAGGTATAAGCAGGCAGTGAATCTCATGCCAGGATATTGTCCCTCCCAGCTTCTGCCTTCACCCTGCTCCGCTCATCCTGAACACCAGCCTCCTTTTGGCGTGTCCTCTTTTGCTGCAGATTGAGTGATGATCTGGGTTGAAGAGGACATCTGGGGGATGTTCACTGCCAACTGCCAGTTTCTACCAGTGGTCTTGGTCCTGGCATATACACTTTTTGTTCTCAAATTGTGCCCTGGCCACTCACTGATTTGATTCCAAAGTGTCAGGGAGTGTTTACTCCAGATCCCCAAGCTTTCTATAATGGGATCTTCTCATGTGTACCAGCTTCCCTGCCTTTGGCCAGTACGGAACCTGATCAGGTATCCATGTTGCCTGCTGATGGCCAGTTTCAGAAGTTTGGCTCGCGACTCTAACTCTTTCCAGTTGATCAAAAGATGCTCCGGATCTGAGACTGTCGGTGCCAATCAGCCATTGTCAGGAGTCCCATGGCCACAGGGCAGGCAGAGAGAGTGCTCAAAGTCTGCTGGCCTTCTTGGTTGTAACTCTCATCAGAGAGTCTGGGTGAAGATGCTGGGGCAGGGAGTAAGTCACATGCCATCAGCAAAGTGGAACCTAGTGACCAGAGCCAGAAGGGAAAGAAAGGGAGCGGGGATCCTAGGGCCTTGGTGAGGTGGAGAACTTTGTTGGGTCTTTGGAGGAGGTGGGCAAACAAGGATGGGAGTAAGCCTTGAGCAGGGGGAACGCCCAGTGACACCTATGCTTACCCTGGGCTCAGAAGGTGGCAGGCTCCATTTCTTGTCCCCAGGGATAGCCCACAATTTGTTCTCGGCCTACCCAAGGCAAGACAGAGCTGAAGAACAGAGAGGTTCCCACTGAGCTAACCTTGTTTCAGCCTCTTTCATGCCTGCTCAGGCTAGAGTCTTAGCATGAGGGAATGTCCAAAGCTCTCAGTAGCTGCTGAAAGCCAATGTGGAATGGTCTCCTCTCCTGAGGGCTGGGGCAGTGGGGAAAGGGGAGAAGGGAGGAAAGGGCGGGGTGCAAGGAGGACTTGGGGAGGGCACTGCAGGGCACATGCACAGAGCAGACAAGAATATCAGAGCAAAGTTTTGGACAAAAAGCAGATTCGGTACCATTAAGTACACTGCAGTGGGACTTTCTGATCATCCAAAGACCAAAACTGGATGTATGGGTATGCACACGTGTGTGTACATGCTCAGTGTGTGTGTGTGTGTGTGTGTGTGTGTGTGTGTGTGTGTGTGTGTGTGTGTGTGTAAGTGTGTGAAGGGGCAAGGCGCCTCTTCTTTCCCCTCCTCAGGTCCATCACTGGGGGAATCTCTCCTGAAGGCCACTGGTGGCAGAGTGGGTGCTCCAGGTGAGAAATGCTAGCACACACATACACCCACACATCCCCTGGGAAATACTTGGGGTTGTTGGCGTGGGTGTGGGTGCTTGTGTGTTTGTCTTTTAAGGGAGGGGAACTGCAGTGAGGTTTTTTCTTCCTGTCCCCTTAAATACCCGAGATTTGTCATGGTGTTAGGTGAAGAAAACTGCCATATGGCCATCAGAAAGACATGACTGGTCTGAGCATGGCCACAGGACTAGTGGCACATATCCAAAGAGATACTGCACCATTCAGACCAAGCAGAGTCAGAAGGTGCTAAGGTAGATGGGAATTTAGAAGAAGTGAGGCAAAAAGGAGGCTGCGGAAGAGAGGATGGCAGTGAGAGAGGACAGGGCAGAAGGGAAGAGAAGCTTAGAAGGTAGTAAGAAGTTAGGACTATCTCCAGGACACACTGTACATCAATAGAGGGAATTCCCCAAGGCACTGCAGAACAGTAGTGCAGAATTACAACAGGCAAAAGACGGCAGAAAAGGGAGAAGGAAAGAAGGGCTTGCAAAGCATCACTGTGTGTGGAAGTAGATGGGTTTGACTTTTCCGGAAAGGATCTTGGGCACTTGTACGGAGATGATCTCGGCCATCATCTCAGGAAAGTCCACGCTCACCATGTGTGACTTGATTAGTAGGTCAAAAGTGAATTGGTGCAGTTCTCTGGCAATCTGGAATGAGAAGAGGGCAGGAGAGGGAGGCTGGCATATGTAGCCCTACCTTCATTCATCCTCCTCAGAGCAACTCCCTATGGGGGCACAAGCAGGCAGGCAGCCAGGCTGTCCTGCAGGGGAGGGCTGGGCTCCTGTCCCTCTGGGCCCTTGTTACTGGGCATAACAGAAGCATCTCAGTCCTTAGCTTCCTTTCTCCCAGAGTCTAAGGGATGACAGGTATCAAACACTCTCCCTTGAGCTTCCAAAGACTCAAGGAATCCCTTGTGCCTTTTGAAGGTATTCAGTTCTAGAACCAGTGCCCCCCTCCCACCCCAACTTCTACCAGGTGGCATCCTGTATTCTGCCTTAGTCAATATTTAGGAGTCTTGAGCAAGGGAGGAAATCCAGATCTGAGTAGTCCAAGCAATTCAACTGTTTGCAGATCTCTGCCTGATTCCCAAACTCTGTTCCTGATACCCAGCTAGGATGCATTGGTCTGCTTGTATTTCTATTTTGACCATTTGGCCAAAACATCTTCTCTGTGTCTATCTCCTTTTCTGTATTCCTTCCTGTCACTTTCTTTTTCTCTCTCTAGCCTTCCAGCTCTCCTTCCCTTCATCTGACTTAGCATCTCTGCCTCTATTTCTTCTCCCTCTGTCTCTGTATCCTTCCGTCTCTCTCCATCACTCCCTCTCTCTCTTCCAGTATCTTTCATTCCCTTTCTGCCTCCCTCTCTCTGCCTCTCCCATCTCCCTCACTACCTCTCTCTTTCCCCTCCCTCTTCCTCTCCCTCTCCCTCCTCTCCCTCCCCCCACCCCCCAGCTAGATCACTTACAGGCTGCACGGAATCCAGGAGTTTGGTGAGTTGGTAAAAGCGCCGTGAGCAAGAGGTTGGATTTTTCCTCTTGCAGGCAATTATCCGATCAAGCTCTTTGATGTAGTTCATTCGAAGTTCGTCAAAAAATTTCTGATTCTTCAGTCCATCCACTGGAACTGATTTGGGAGGAATTCAAAGTGGGGAGAGGAGAAAGCCCAAGGGACCATTAGAGGAGTGTGGACACAGCAATGTAATTGAGGTGACTGGGGCGGAGGGGTTGGCTCAGAGGGCTTACTGTTGCTGGGAAACCAAAGATTCTGTTTCTTATTATTTAAAAGCTTGATGGGAACTTCTTACGCTTTCTGGAGATGAGGGTGGGATGGGCAAGGATGGCTGAGTGCAGTGTATCTGCCACCATTTTCTAAAATTCACTGGATCCCAGATTCAGGGCTTGAAGGGATTTCAGAGATCAGCTAGTCAAATCTCGTATCTCACAGATCATTTTGGCCTTTCCTCAAACAAGATGCTTCATTTCTGGGCTCTGGGCATTTTTTCTGACTGTTCCTCGGGCCCGGAACGTGCTTCCCCCTCCCCTTGGACCACTGACCTCCCTGGCTTCCTTTAAATCCCACCTAAAATCCCATCTTCTACAGGAAGCCTTCCCCAACCCTTCTTAATTGTAGTGCCTTCCCTCTATTAATTATTTCCTATTTATCCCATCTTATGGCTTGCTTTGTAGATTATTTGTTTGCATGTTAGACTGAAAGCTCCTTGAGGGTAGGAACTATCTTTTGCCTCTTTTTGTAACCCCAGTGTTTAGCATGGTGCCTGCCATATAGTAGGCACTTAACAAATGTTTATTAATTGATTAAATGTGGTTTTCTAAGTCAATATGTGGCTGTAAGGTTTAGTGGCCCAGGTTTCCGACACCACTACACCCACATATCTTAATGAGATGTTATCAGAGGTAATCAGATGAGATGATATCTAGCCATACCTCCTCAATCTCACACTTCTGAAGTCGATTTGTGTGATCTGAGTGTGAGACTGTCCATTTAACCCTATCAGATCCCATCTTATTGGACTAGCCCAATGCCCATATCTCTTTTACATCTTGACTTTCATTCATTATGTCGACCATCCCTTCTGGCTTTGCATCGTCTTCAAAAGCAATAAGCACGGTACCACCTATGCCTCTATCCAAGCCACTGATGAAAATGTTAACCAATGGACCAGTCAGAGATCTCTGGGGCACCCCACTGGAGACCTGCCAAGTTGACATGACCATTCTTTGAGTTTGGCCACTCAACTAGTTTTGAGCCCATGTAATTGTATACTCTCTAACCCACATCTCTCCATATTCTTTTCAAAAGGAACAGGAGAGACTTGGTCAAACACCTTCCCCAAATTTAGGTAAAGAACTGATCCTCTCCCTTGGTAAACCAGTCAAATAAGGAAATGAGGTGGGTCTGGCATGACCCACTCTTGACCATGGCTTCCCTTTCTAGGTGGTCACTTGCAATCAATTTAATCACATGCTTTAGCCCAGGGGTGAGGAACCTGTGGCCTCGAGGCTAGCATGTGGCCTTCTAGGTCCTTGGGTGCGGCCTTCTGATTGAGTCCAAATTTTATAGAATAAATCTTTATTAAGGGCATTTGTTCTGTGAAGTTTGGATTCGGTCAAAGGGCGGAATCTGAGGACCTAGAGGGCCACGTGTGGCCTTGAGGCCCCAGGTTCCCCACTCCTGCTCTAGAATTTTGCCACAAATCAAAATGGAGCTCACTGGCCTATGGTTGGCAGGCTCTGACCTCCCCTTCCCTTTTGTGAGCCTCTTTCTCTTTTCACAGTGGGAAGAACGTTGGACCCAGAGCCAGAAGACCTGCTGTTCACTAGTTGTGTGATCTTGAGCAAGTAACACTTCTGTTCTCTGAGTCTCAGCTTCTCTAGCTGTCAAATGGGGATGATTACACCTGCTCTGGCTACCTCTCAGGGCACTCGTGGGACAAATGAGAGCACTGGCAAAGCACTCTGAAAAACTGAAAGCATTCTATTAATGTCAGTTATTACTGTCATTCTCATTCTCATCATCATCATCATCGTTATAAGCATCAGTGAGATAAGCGAGGGCAGAAGTAGATGGGGTGGGGGGAAGGGGCCTCAGAGGCCTCTAGTCTACCCCCTTCATTTTACAGAGGAGGAAACTGAGGCACATAGTAGTTAAGTGGCTTGTGCACTGTCATAAAGGTATTGTCAGAGCTGGACCTTGACTCCCATGACTCTGAGGAGTTCAGAGATCTTACCATAGCACCACGCTCCCTCTTGGGGTACCTAAGTCTTTCATCTAGCTCTGACCTTGGTGAAATGGATTCATCCAGTGACATGGACCCAAATGGCGGTGACCAGGGGTACTTCAGGACCATCTGTTCTTTTGCTTGTTCTTGATAGAAAAAAGAAACTCCCTCTGAGGTCTACCTTAAAAAGGGTCAGGTCTCTGATGCCCCAGGGGAACATGCCTGGGGGTGGGGGTGGGGAAAGAGAGAAGCACTTACTAATGCTGAAGAGCAGCAGGGCCTTCATGCACAGAAACTCCTGTGGTGTGATCTGGAGCCAGCCAAACTCCTGGGAGAGATGTCTCATCCGGACACACTGGCTGTACATCCTTGACTTGTGCATCCGGTATCTGGGAGAGGCAGAGGGGATGAGGGTGTGAGATATGCTGCAGAGGCTTATGGGTCCCAAGCCAGTTGCCACTCCCCATTCCCTCCCACCCAACTAAAGGGGATTCCATCAGAGCAGGTTGGAGGCAGGATCTTCCAAATCCTAATTGATATTCTTTTCTCTGTTAGTGGGGAAAGAGGGAATTTCGAGGGCCCCTTCCTGCTTCCTGGGAAGAAGACAGGAAGTGGAATCAAATGAAGCCAAAGAGAAGACCACATAGGCTCCTAGGCCCAGCCTAGGCCTAGCTCCTGTGAGCAGAATTGCCAGAGCCTTTGGACATCTGATCTCCTGCTGCTCAGTGGTTGGCCAATATAAAACAGGAAGATTTAATGCATCCCCCACTCCTGCCTTGCTGCCAAAATGTCCCCTCACCATACCAGAAAGACGGCAGATTCTTGAAAAAGCTCACAAGGGAAGTCTGCTGTGCCCCCAGTGAAATCCAGTTTTAGTATCTCATAAGCCATGTCCAGAACTTCCAGTCTGTGCAGGCTTTGTGGAGCACAGGATAAAGCCATTCCCAGAAACCCTAGGAAGTGCCTGCAGGCCTACCCATAGGAAGTAGGGGATAATGACAATGGAAAACGAGCTCAAAAGCAGACATCTGAAGGCCCACGACTGGAGTCCCTGCAAGATGCTGCTCACTCTGGGTAGGCCTGAAGAACATTCTTCAGGAGGGTATTAACTTACCTGTGAGAGACAAAAGTGCCAAATCCCCAACTCAGCTGGCCCTTTCCACTACTCTGTTCTAGAAAATGGCATTCTAAGTAACTTTTCAAATGCCAAGGAGAAACAAGAGAGGACAGGCCCAGGACACAGTGGATGAAGCCTGTTGGGAGTCAGGGCCGAACTTGACCACAAATGATGATGGCCTGGCTGCTGCTGGAGGGAGCTGTTTAGAGGGCCTTCCTCCCCCTGGTCTTCCATGCCACAGCATGCCATGTCACACCTTGCTGAGGGCTTGCTCTTAACGGAGGAGGAGAAAAGGTGGAGTCCCATTCTGGCTCTGGCACTCAGTATGGATAGCTGGGTTGGAGGCTCTTCCCAGGCAAATTCATCCATCCACTATTCTGACCCCTCAGACATTCCATGTTTTGGTGGTGGTGGGGGTGCTGTGTGTGTGAGAGATAGCATAAGCAACCACTCTCCTTAGTCCAGAGTGACTCCTTCACCCAACACTTAGGATTTGGAGCTACGAGGGATCTTAGAGGGCTTTTAATCCCACCCTCTTATTACCTTATAGAAGGGGAAACTGAGGTCCAAAGAAGGGAAGTAAAGGAGGTAGGCTCCAAATCCATATGCAAGAAAATCAGAGGCAGTCCATGGCAGAAGGAGGAAGAGGAGGAAGAAGGCCCTTGCCTCCAGGGATACTTACTCATTGAACACCAGGTCAGGAGCAAAGTAGAGCATCCTGGAATTGACGTTGGTGAAAGATCTCCAGCCCATGGCAAACACCATAAGTCCCATCCAGGAGTACTGGATAACAGCCATCTGGTCATCCACATGCAGGTTCCGGAAACCTAGGATGAGATCAGGAACAAGGGTTGGAGTCCTTTGAGCTGAGACTTGCAAAGGAACATATGATGGAAGATCTTAGCTTGAGAGCTCAAAAGGGACCTCAGAGATGACTGACCCCAAACCCCTCTTTTTACAGAAGGGGAAACTGAGGCCCAGTGAAGGGAAGCCACTTGTCCCAGGCCATAGAGCTAGTAGTAAGTAAGCTACAGTGCTGAGATTTGAGCCTAGGTCTTCTGGAGCCTTTTGGAGCCTTGAACTTTGGGTTGGGTCAAGAAAAGTTAAGGTTCAAATCCCACCTGGGACGCTAGGCGTGGGACTCTGGGCAAGTCCCTTCACCTCTCTGGGCCTCAGTTTCCTGATCTCTAAAATAAGGAACTGGATTTGATTAGATGGTCTCTGAAGTCCCTCCCAGAGCTAACATTCTGTGTTCTAAGGCCCATCCCAGCTCTGACATTCCCTGGAATACTCTATTGTGTTCACAGAATGTCCCAGGGGACCGAGGTCTAGTCTGGGGGTCAGGCCACTTGGGGCCAATTCTTAGCTTTGCCCCCAGGGCATTGCCTGTTCCCCAAGAAAGGACCTTATATCTAGAGAGCTAGAAAGAACCCTGGCGGTTAAAAGTCCCACTCCCTCATATTACAGATCAGGAAACTGAGGCCCAAGAGGGGAAATGACTTGTATAAGGTCTGAAAAAAGCTCTAACTCTAGAGATGGAGGGGACCTCCAAGGCCATTGAGTCCAACCAAGGCCCAGGAAGTCACTTCACCAAGTGACTTGCTCAAGGCCACACAATTAGTAAGCAGCAGAAACTGGATTTGAATCCAGGGCCTTGGACTTTAAATCTCTTGCTCTTGCCACAGAATCAAGTGATTTTTATTTTGGGTTCGTGGAATGAATGAGCTGTCAATCCTTTGAGAAGATGGCTTCCTGGGCATTATTTCCGGGCTCAGAGAGGCCAGAGTGTGAAAGAGCTGGATTCTGGAGGACCGGGACCACATCAGTACTGTCAGCGTGTGTGCGCTCCTATGTGTACTGCACACGCACACGTTTAGGCTCGGGGTGTGCATGAGTGCATGTGGAGGTGCCTGGGGAATTACACTGTACAGGAGATCAGGGACAATTGTGAACGCTAATGGTGTTTATATGTAGCCAAATTAACTTGGCTCAGTTCTGTGAAAGGACTTCTAATTAGTCATTTAGGAGAACAGCATACCATTTAGGGCTAATTACCATATGTAAGGTAACTCCTAAAGTGGCCTAGCTGAGCAGTGGATCTCGTCCAGGACCACCCCAGGGGCAAACCTTGCTGCTGACATGGACTCACTGTGTGGCTTTAGGCAAATAGCTGAACCTCTCTGAGACTCTGAGAGTGAGCTAGCAACCTAGAGGTGGGACGTGCTTTGTGCATGGGAGAGCTCCCACTCGGATCCCCTTGGCATTTACATAAAAGAACAATGATGAGTGTTGATAGAGTGTGTTAGATTCATTTTCTTACAATTTTTACGTGATATTACTCTGTCCATGTATGTTCAGTCTTCCATTAATCTGATAGCAGGCTACAACTTGAGGGGGGTGGCCTAGATAATTTCTAATGTCTCTTCCAGGTATGACATTCCATGTTTCATGGTCTAAGGACCCTATCCCAGCTCTGCCATTCTGTATTCTTAGACCCCCCCCCCGCCCTGACATTCTCTGTTCTCAGCCCCCCCCCCCCCCACTCTAAAGATCTTTCCTATTGTGTTGTCTGGTGGAAGAGTCCTGCTATCCCACCTGCTGCCCTGCCTGGCTGTGCTCCCTCGCCTTCCCATCCCCCTTACCAGGCAGAGCCTTGGCCCACTTGACTACGTGCACCAGCTGCCTCTCTCCCAGCTCATTCAGGCTGGAGAGCAAAGCAGCGAAGGAGTCAGGCTGGTTGTTGTCATGGCCAGCACACACCACTCCTGGCTCGATGGCCTCTAGGACATTCAGGAAAATGGGTTGGCACTCAAAGCCTTCAATGTGGGAAACTGTGAGCTTCTGCCCTGGATCTTCATTGGGGCTGGTGGAGCTGGAGGCCTCGCCTTCCTCCTGCAGCTTCAGGTTCCCAAGTTTCTTTAGCTTCCGGGCTGTGGGGGAGGGAAAGGCAAGCATGGGATTACCACTCAGAGCCCCAAACACCTCACGGTGGGACCTGTAAAGAAAGTCTCCAGGTAGGGCAAGGGTTCACTGCTTGAAGCCAAACTTCAGCCTGTACCCATCTGACCTGGAGTCAGAAAACCTGGGGCCAAGGCCTGGCTTGCCACTTCCTAGCTGGGGAACCATGGCCCACCACCTAGAGTAGCTAGGTGGTACAGAGCACTAAGCCCTGGGGTCAAGAGGACCTGAGTTCAAATCTGGCCTCAGACACTTGACACTTATGAGCTGTGTGACCCTGGGCAAGTCACTTAACCCTGATTGCCACACACATGCACACACACACACAAGAATGTCAGCTCCTCAAAGGGGAGAGATTCATTTCATTCTGTGTATTTGTATAGTGTATATCTGCTCCCGAATGAATGACAATCTTGCTATTTCCCCCATTGTCAAGCACAGCATTCAGCACACAGTAGGCGTGTTGATTTCCCTCCTCTGAATCTCAGTTTCTTCCTCTGTAAAAAGCAGGAAGATGATTATACTTGCACAGGGAGCTTTGGATAAGGCAAAGGGCAGTGAACGTGTGGACTCTCATTACTGTTCCCATCCCGAGAGGAAAGCACTAGCCAGAGAAGAAGGCTCTTGGGCATGGATGGGCAGTGGGCACACTCCTGAGGACCTTGCTGGACCTGTAAGTCACATCTGGAGCAAAGCAGACTTGGAAACCCAAGCCAAGGAAGGCTGAGCCAGAGGGGGAAGAGTGTGAAAGGGAGAGAGAAGTGATGGGAGTTGAAGCCTTGGCTTCTGTGGTATGTACGGTGCTGTCGCTTGGCACCAGAGAAGACAAAAGAGAGCAGCAGACAAGCCACCCACGAGCTTGCCCTGCCACCTCTGCTTCTAATTATGTGGCATAGCCTGAGGAAATGCACTTTCCCTCTCTGAGGCCTTGGCTTCTCCCATCTGTAATGGTAATCAGAAAAACTGCTAACCTTTCTATCTCCCACTGAAGTTTGATGTTAGGCTCTAAGGCCCTTCCCAGCTCTGCCATTCTATGATTCAAGAATAATATCTGGTCCTTGCCCACAAGCATGACCTAAACCCAGACAAAGCTGAACAAGTGGAGAGAGCAATAAAATTCCAATTCAGTGCTAGACATCCTTCATGACCTTGATTAATTACCAAGTGAATGGTCTTCCCAGTCAGTTTTGGGAGCAGGAATGGCTGGGTGGGCTTTAAAGTTGGAGCAGTTCTAAATCACTACTGACTAGAAAAATGTAAATGAAAACAGCTCTGAGGTACTACCTCACACCTAATATGACAGAAAAGGAAAATATCGGAAAATTGGGACACTAACGCATCATTGGTGGAGTTGTGAACTGATCCAAACATTCTGGAGAGCAATTTGGAACTATGGCCAAAGGGCAATTAAACTGTGCATACCCATTGATCCAGCAATACCACATTAGATCTGTATCCCAAAGAAATCATAATAAAGGGGAAAGGACCCACATGTACAAAAATATTTATAGCAGCTCTTTTTGTGGTGGCAAAGAATTGGAAATTGAGGGGATGCCCATCAATTGGGGAATGGCTGAACAAGTAGTATATGAATGTAATGGAATACTATTGTGCCCTAAGAAATGATGAGCAGGCTGACTTCAGAAAAACCTGGAAAGACTTATATGGTCTGATGCTGAGTGAAGTGAGCAGAACCAAGAGGACTTTGTACACAGTAGCAGACATACCGTATGATGATCAACTATGATAGACTTAGTTCTTCTCAACAATACAATGATCTAAGACAATTCCAAAAGACCCATAATGGAAAATGCTATCCACATCCAGAGAAAGAACTAGGGAGTCTGAATGTAGATTGAAGCATACTATTTTTACTTTTTTTGGTGCTTTCCCCCCTTTGTTCTGTTTCTCCTTTTACAACACTACTAATGTGGAAATATGTTTTATATGACTGCACATGTATAACCTATATTGGATTGCTTGCAGTCTTGGGGAGAAGGAAAGGGAGGGAGAAAAATCTGGAACTCAAAATCTTTTAAAAAATGAATGTTGAAAATGATCTTTACATATAAAAATAAAATACTATCAAATAAAAAAAAGTTGGAGCAATTGTTGGAGAGGTAGAACAAAGTTCAAATGGGGCCAAAGTTAGGGAGGTGGCAGTGGGAGGTAGTGAGAATCAGGTGGAGGCCAGGGAGGGTAGATGGTAGCAGCCAGAGAGGGGAATATGGGGACCTCAGGGAAAGGCACACCTATGACTGGAAGAAAGAAACTGAGCAAGGTAGCTTTGGACTCAGCTGGAGAGGGCCCTGAATGTTCCTTTAAGGGTCACAACACAACTTGAGAATGCATTCAGTCACACACACTGATTAAGCACTGACTGCATGCAGAATATTGTGCTATTCAGTGAAGGACATAGAAGGCACTGGCCCCTTCCTTTAAGGGGCTCAAAGTATGTTTGAGGTGGAGGAGGGGCTGAAGGAGCGCCCAGTGGCTGCTGTGAGCCCAATGATGGAGGGGAAGCACCGGGAATGGGGCTGAATAATAGGGTTGAGAGATAGGACCTCAGTTTCCTGTAAATTGAGAACTAAAGGGCCTCCAACATCCCTTATAACTCTCACTCTAAGATGCCAGGTGTGACCTTAGGCAAGCACTTCTCCTTGGGCCTCAGTTTCCCCCTCTGTACACTACCTGGTCTTTGAGGGACCCTATTATCCATGACTAGGAGCCTAAAGCTCTCTAGGCCTCAGTTTCCCCCTCTGTACACCACCTGGTCTTTGAGGGTCCCTATCATCCATGAATCTAGGAGCCTAAAGCTCTCTAGGCCTCAGTTTCCCCCTCTGTACACTACCTGGTCTTTGAGGGCCCCTATCATCCATGAATCTAGGAGCCTAAAGCTCTCTAGGCCTCAGTTTCCTCCTCAGTAACAGGAGGGGGTTGGATTCCATGGTCTCTGAGGACCCTCTAGGGTCTAGGCCCCTAAGTGATCTCCCAGCAGTTCCTTCAGCCCTCTGGCCTCAGTTTCCCCTACAGTAACAGAAGGGGGTTAGAGGGCACAGTCTCTGAGGCCTTTTCATCTCTAGGTCTAGGAGTCTGTGGATAAGAAGTGCCTGTCCCTGAGCTGCAGGGCTGGGGTGGGAGAAGAGTTAAGATATTGAGGTAAGATTCAACAGCCCCTCCAAATTACATGAATAATAATAGCTAGTATTTATATAGTACCTTAAGGGTGCAAAGTGTCATAAATATATGATCTCATTTGATCCTCACAACAACCCTTGGAGGGAGGTGCTATTATTATCTTCATTTTACAGATGGGGAAACTGAGGCAGAGCACAGTGAAGTGACTTGGCCAGAGCCAGACATTTAGAAAGTATCTGAGATGGGATTTGAACTCAGTCTTCCTGACTCCAGGTACATTGTTTCTCCTAGTAGCCTATCCTGCATTGGGGCCTAGCTGCCTTACCACTTCTATGGGCTCAACAGTCTGTCCCAGTCCAGGGAGTGCTGGGCCTATGTGCCATCTGCCATTCTGGGGCCTGGTTTCGAGGTCTGGGAACTCTGTTCCAGGGCTGAGGGTGACACATCCTCCCTTGTCAGACCAGACCTGCTGCTCTCCCCTGACAGGGTCTCAGGCACCAAGCTACATGGAGCTGTGAGGTGGTTACCTGTCATCACACATAGAGTCCTGGGGCCTGAACTGAGAACTTGCCTAGAAGCCTGTGGAAGGAAGGCCTGGCTTGGACATCTACCCAGGGAATTCCTTCCTAATGGGACCACTGAACCCTGACTTACAGTCTTTGACTCACCCTGAGTCTAGGCTAGGAAGAGAGGAGGACCTATGTGGCCAGCCAGGCCTAGTGGAACCTCAGTAGAAGCTAGCTCTGTTGGTGATCCTCCTTTGACCCTCCTGCGCTAGTGACTGGCTTCTAGCCTAACCCCAGCTCTTGGCAGAGTGCCTGGCACAGAGCAGATGACTGGGGGATGGCCTGAAGTATTATGCATGACCAAACCTTCTCCTATGCCCAAACCACTACCTTGGTTTCAGACCCTTAGGCAGTGTGGCATTCTAGATGGGATGCTAAACTCAAAATCATAAAGATCTGGGTTCAAATCTTGCCTCTGACATGCCGGCTGTGTGTCCCTGGGCAAATCCCTTTACCCCTCAGTTACTTCAACTGTAAAATGCGGGGGGTGGCCTCCATGGCCCTGAAGGTCTCCTCTAAGCTCTAGACCTTGGGTTCTCTAGGATTAGGACCTTGCCTTGGCCCCCTAGTACCTGGAGTTGGGTCCTGATCCTGCTTTCCATGCCTCCTGTTTCCCTGGTGCCACCACCTGCTTGCCTCACAGGTCACTTGCTCTCCTACCTGCCACCCCCTCCGTCATAATAATCCCTTGTCTACCTGGGTTTCTTTTCATCCTCCTTTTAGGGATCTGGTCTCCTCTTTCTGTCCCCTCCAATCCATCCCTCAGCATTCTGCTCAAAAACATTCAATGGTTCTCTGTTGCCTACCTATATAGACATCCTTCTCTCTGCCTGGCATTCAAAGCCCTCAGAGGTAGAACTTAAATCCAGGTCTTCCTGACTTTTGAAATTAGTTCTCTACCCGCTACACTTCAATACTACTCCTATTACTACTACTACTACTACTACTACTACTACTACTACTACCACCACCACCACCACCACCACCACTACAACCACCAGCACCACCACCACCACCATCCCACTCTCACTACCACCACCACCCATCACTACCACCACTACTACCACTCCTATTACTATTACCATCACCACCACCACTACTACAACCACCACCACCACTACTACCACTACCACCCCCTACTACTACTATTACTACCACCACCACCGCTCCTTCACTACTACTACTACCACCACCCTACTACTACTATCACCACTACCACCCCTTATTACTACTACTACTACTACCACCACTACTACCACCCCTTACTA